GTCCACATATGAGGGAGAACATACGATTTTTGGTCTTTTGGGCCAGGCTAACCTCACTCAGAATGATGTTCTCCAATTCCATCCATTTACCAGCGAATGATAACATTTCGTTCTTCTTCATGGCTGCATAAAATTCCATTGTGTATAGATACCACATTTTCTTAATCCATTCGTCAGTGGTAGGGCATCTTGGCTGTTTCCATAACTTGGCTATTGTGAATAGTGCTGCAATAAACATGGATGTGCAGGTGCCTCTGGAGTAACAGTCTTTTGGGTATATCCCCAAGAGTGGTATTGCTGATCAAATGGTAGATCGATGTCCAGCTTTTTAAGTAGCCTCCAAATTTTTTTCCAGAGTGGTTGTACTAGTCTACATTCCCACCAACAGTGTAAGAGGGTTCCTTTTTCCCCGCATCCTCGCCAACACCTGTTGTTGGTGGTGTTGCTGATGATGGCTATTCTAACAGGGATGAGGTGGAATCTTAGCGTGGTTTTAATTTGCATTTCCTTTATTGCTAGAGATGGTGAGCATTTTTTCATGTGTTTTCTGGCCATTTGAATTTCTTCTTTTGAGAAAGTTCTGTTTAGTTCACGTGCCCATTTCTTTATTGGTTCATTAGTTTTGGGAGAATTTTTTTAAGTTCCCTGTATATTCTGGTTATCAGTCCTTTGTCTGATGTATAGTTGGCAAATATTTTCTCCCACTCTGTGGGTGTTCTCTTCAGTTTAGAGACCATTTCTTTTGATGAACAGAAGCTTTTTAGTTTTATGAGGTCCCATTTATCTATGCTATCTCTTAGTTGTTGTGCTGCTGGGGTTTCATTGAGAAAGTTCTTACCTATACCTACTAACTCCAGAGTATTTCCTACTCTTTCTTGTATCAACTTTAGAGTTTGGGGTCTGATATTAAGATCCTTGATCCATTTTGAGTTAATCTTGGTATAGGTGATATACATGGATCTAGTTTCAGTTTTTTGCAGACTGCTAACCAGTTTTCCCAGCAGTTTTTGTTGAAGAGGCTGCTATTTCTCCATCGTATATTTTTAGCTCCTTTGTCAAAGATAAGTTGCTTATAGTTGTGTGGCTTCATATCTGGGTCCTGTATTCTGTTCCACTGGTCTTCATGTCTGTTTTTGTGCCAGTACCATGCTGTTTTTATTGTTATTGCTTTGTAATATAGTTTGAAGTCAGGTATTGTGATACCTCCTGCATTGTTCTTTTGACTGAGTATTGCCTTGGCTATTCGTGGCCTCTTGTGTTTCCATATAAATTTAACAGTAGATTTTTCAATCTCTTTAATGAATGTCATTGGAATTTTGATGGGAATTGCATTAAACATGTAGATTACTTTTGGGAGTATCGACATTTTTACTATGTTGATTCTACCAATCCATGAGCATGGGAGATCTCTCCACTTTCTATAGTCTTCCTCAATCTCTTTCTTCAGAAGTGTATAGTTTTCCTTGTAGAGGTCTTTCACATCTTTTGTTAGGTTTACACTTAGGTATTTGATTTTGTTTGAGGCTATTGTAAATGGAATTGTTTTCATACATTCTTTTTCCGTTTGCTCATTGTTAGTGTATAGAAATGCTAATGATTTTTCTATGTTGATTTTATATCCTGCTACCTTGCTATAGCTATTGATGATGTCTAGAAGCTTCTGAGTAGAGTTTTTTGGGTCTTTAAGGTATAGGATCATGTCGTCTGCAAATAGGGATATTTTGACAGTTTCTTTACCTATTTGTTAAATACCACATTTTCTTTATTCATTCATCTGTTGATGGACACTTTGGCTGATTTAATAACTTATCTCTTGTGAGCAGTGCTGCGATAAACATGGCATTTCTATTGTAGGTTGGCTTTGATTCCTTTGGATGTTTGCCCAAGAGTAGTATAGCAGGATCATAGGTACTTCTAATTTTAGTTTTTGAGGAAGCTCCATACTGATGTCTATAGTGGCTGACATTCCCACCAACAGTGGCTAAGGATCCCCTCCCCTTACCAGCATTTGAAAACGTACATTTTAAATTTTGCACAATAAGGAATGTAACGAAAATTTGAATTTGGGAAAAAGTGGGATGATCAAGTATTTATTATGGATTATAAAACCATTCATGAATTTTAAGTAATAAACAGAAGGAACGCTTAGTTAAAGCAAGAAAAAAAAAAAGGAAAATGCAGCAGTTCCTAATGTTGAATTAATATTTGAAGGTAGTTTTGGCAATTTCCATGTAAATGAGAAAATGTGATTTACATGGAATAAACCAAGTAGATTTCAAAACAGGTAACTTCATGTCTGTGTATGCTACCACAATGTTGAGTTGAAAGAATTTGAAGTTTTAAACAAAGACGTATTTGTCCTCATAGAATTGGTAAAAGAAATTTACTTCATTTCACGGTATCTTCTTAATGGGTCAAGGTCTGACCCAGGGCGGAGTTGAACTTGGTAGGATCAACCCTGAATCAGCAGGTCCTAAATTACAGTCAGGGACTATAAGTTTTGGTGTGTGCTTGAATAGTAGGTTGAGTAGAGATAACAGTGTACTTACTGTCCATTTCAAAAAGCTGAAGAAAGGACTTTGAAAACTTTCACTATAAACAAATGATAAATGTTTGAGGAGGTAGGTGTGTTTAACCTGACTTAAACATTGTACAACGTATACATGTATGAAACATTACATGGCATGTATGATTTCTCATGTTTTTATGTGTTAAAAAACAACCACTGAGATAATGTTCATGACATTGTGAATAAGCTTTTCCTCTTAAATTTCCTCCTAACAGGATTGGGTAGAGGAAACAAGTGAAATTTACAGTTCTTTTGATAGAAAAGAAAACCTGGCAGTATTTGTTCAAGCAGTGGACAAAGGCCTCCATTTCCTGGTTTTAGACTGGGTGAAATAAGGAGTGTTTTGTTCTTGCTTAAAATAAGCATCCCAGCAAGGTGTGGTAGGGCATGCCTGTAATCCCAGCTAGTGCAGGAGGATTGCAAGTTCAAGGCCAGACTGGGCTATGTTATGAGATTGTTTCCAACAAAAACAAAAAGCATTCCAGCTTTTAGATTCTAATTATGGCAAGAATATAAATTTCCCTTCCCTTTGCTCTTTTTTGACTGTGTGTTTAAATCTTAACATGTCATTTCCTATAATATATTAGAAGACTTATCCTCTGGTCTGTGTAGAATCAGGATCCAGAATTTATGCTTTCCTACTTAGATCTGTGACATTGAACAGACAGGCATTTGTCTTTAGACATTTTCATCTATGCCGAGGTAAAAAGAATTACTGTAATCCTGTCCTCTCAGGTGTAGAGTCATGGCTTTTGAGAAAGCAAAAAGGAGGACTAAATTCACTTGATGTTCAGGGCTCTGTAGTAGTTGTTTATAGTTGGCAAAACTTACACATGTATGATGTTTCCTTCAAAAATTTATCAATGTGTGATTATATTTTTCCACTTGGGACGGGAACATTAGCATCTCTGGATAATCAAATTTAGACATTGTCTTTGATCTTTTCATTTCAGTGATGGCTTTTTTCTGTATTTTTCCTCATACATTGTATTTTAATACTTTATATCCATGTGCAGACAATGCACATGTTTTGACTACTCCTTTGCTTCCACTCCTTTTTCAGCCTACTCCACTGAACTGCTATAGGCAGAGCCTCCAAATGTCTCCCTGCCACACAACCTGAGACAGTTCTCCATATTCCCCTTTTTAATGGGAGTTAATACTGTTACTTACTTCTTCCTTGAAAAAGGCTCTGGTAACCCCACATTTAACTGCTTTTCCTTCACTCTCTTGTTCTGACAACACCCAGACCTCCTTTGCGGACCCTTCTTTATCCATTACATAAATGGGGTCATTCCTCACAGTTCTTTGTTGAGTCCTTGTTGCTTCTCATGATACTGTTTCCTCTAGACTGTCATCATTGCTTCAGTCATAATTGGCTGGTGATTCTAAGACTTCTTGGCTTCAGATCTATATTCAGTTGTCTGATGGACATCTTCACTTAATGTTCAAAGTAGGCTATAAGTGATACATACCCATTTCAACCTAGCTTCAGGCTAAGAGGGAGACACATTGCCTCACAAAACCAAACTTGAGATGCACAGGCAAAACTGGTCTTGGAGATGACTGGAACCACTTTGAGCTCCTCTTCTCATCAGCATTATTATCTCAGCACTGTCTGTGGATCATGGTTTATTGAGGTGATTCTTCAAGTTGACATCTTGGGAGCTGGGAATCAAAAGTAGGTCTACTCTTTGTCCAACTCTGGAATGTAAAGTATCTTGACTCATTCTGTCTTGGTGTTGGTGGGGATGGATCTAATGGCTTAATTCATGGAAAGAAGCCTAACATAACCCGATCCAACATTTGTGTACAATTCTAATTTCATTGGATGAGGTGATAATTGTAAAGCTTTTGATGCGCTGTGGCTGCTTGATTATCTTCTTTGAGTCACTTGCTGGGTCAGTTACTCTATTGGTTGTCTATGAGAACTAGGACTGAGCTAAAGGGAGCATGAAAATGATCAGTGTTTTCATGGAAGTAGAGATTATGGCAATCATATGTTCTATTTGGTGATTAAAAACAAACTTATTAAATAATTCATACTGTTATAAAACAATGCTCAATGAAAGCAAGGATTTGTGATTGCTTTCACTGTTAGAACCCTAGCACTCAATGTTGAAGAGATAGTAATGATTAGAACGCCTCCTTTGCAAGCCCAAACCCCAGGTCACCCAAAAAAAAAAAAAGAACACAGAATTAAAAACATTGTTCGGTGAATAACAGTTTGCTAAAATCTGGATTTTGGGTGGCACTGGGGTTTGAACTTAGGGCCTCATGCTTGCTAGGCAGGTGCTCTTACCACTTGAACCACTCTGCCAGCCCTTTGTGTAATATTTACTCTGAATTTTTATCACAGATTTAAGAAATGAAAGCTTCCAAGTATAACTAAAGTTAATCTCTTTCACTTATTTTCTTTTTTTTTCCCTAGGCTATCTGCTATCCTCCCTGGGTCAAGACAGCTGCTTTATACCTTCTTGCTAGTTCAGAAACACATCTCTGGAACCAGAAGCAAAGAAAGGAAACAGTTTGACTCTTTAAGTTGTCTCCGTAAAGATATTTGACTTCCAAGAATAAAGCCACAGTACAGTAAAACTATCAGTTTGATGAACAGTCCTCATACCAAGGGTCCTACATACCTTGGTGGGGTTTTCTAAATTGAGATTTGGAACCTTCATTGGTGCTCATTTCTGTCTTGGACTGTAAGCATGAGTGAATTCTGGTTGTGTTTCAATTGCTGCATTGCGGAACAGCCTCAGCCTGTAAGTATGATGCAACATTTGTGTACATTGGGTGGGTGCTTATTAAATATACCACTGGTTCCCAAGCTAAGAATTGGGACTTTAGCAGTAATTGCAGGGCAGTTCTAAGAGTGTCGCAGACAACAGTTCAGTGGAACTCTGAACATTTGCTTAAAACAAAGAGGTTAGTATGTTTTTAGTAGATATATGTCCAAAACAGTGCCTGGCTATTTTACATGACTGGGAAGATTGTGCTCCTTTATTGCATAGACAGCTGGAGGAACAGGACAGAAAAAGGAGACCTGACATAAAAGACCCATGTCAGCCTTGGATGTCGCTGGGTGGAAGATGTGACAACCAGAGTCCCTTCCCATTCTTCTCAACTTAACCATCTCATTTTCTCCACAGCAACCTCTGGGAAAGATACCATGGTTTTTATTTTTCAATTGAAACGCGCCCACAGCCTGTTGTTGTTAAGTGGTCTTGGCTGACTTCTTTGACATGTCCTTTTGTGTCTTATAACCAGTGCATTATAGGTTAGAAATCCTGCCCACCAGCCTTCATATTTTTGTAGTTCCCTACAACAAAAGTCACCTGAAGGCTGGGGATGCAGTTCAGTGGTAGAATGCTTGCCAACATGTGCAAGGTCCTGTGTTTATTCGTTCTCTCTCTCTTTCTTTCCTCTCTGTCTTTCTCTCTATACCTTTAGCCATTCCGCCAGCCCTTTTTTGTGATGTGTTCTGAGTAGCTAGGATTACAGGTGTGAGCCACCGGCACCCAGCCTCTGAATTCTTTTCTTTTTGGTTTGCTTTGCTGTAGCCCAGTCTGGCCTTGAATTTGTAATTCTCCTGACTCAGGTTCCCTAGTGCTGAAATTACAGACATTATAAATGTGTACCCCCATGCTTGGCCCCTTGTTTTGTTTTGTAACTCTTAGGTGAGAAAGAAAAGACTAAAGATGATTGGAGTTGGGTATCTTTCTCTTCCCTGAAGGTGTTAAGTTTCTGGTAAAGCTCTAGTTGGTTGGTTAGGCTCTGATAAGCTAGTTTCTTTTGGGGGGCAGGCTTTGTCAAGAATAGAATGTTCTGACTTATTTCATCATGGTAAACCCCCCCCTCCCAACACATACACCCTTATACCCTTTTGCTGAAACACAGGACATCTTTCTTCTGTCCTCACTGTGAAAATCTGATACAGTTCCTGAAGATAAAACCTGTGGATGTGTAGGGGCCCAAAGCTGCCCCACCTAGAGTATATGATACTCCATCTTGTCCACTAAGTCTCCAGTGGTTCATCTATGACAACAGTTTAGGTTTTCCCACACCAGTACTGGATCCTGAGGAGATTTCTGCTCTGGTAGGTTATGTTCATCTGTTTGTCTATCTCTCTCTCTGGTGGTAGTAGGGTTTGAACTCAGGGCCTTCTGCTTGCTAGTCAGGCACTCTACCACTTGAACCACACCTTTGCCCCTTTTGCTTTAGCTATTTTTCTAATAGGTTCTTGCTTTTATGTCTGCACAGGTCTGGACCAGGATCCCTCCTGTTTATGCTTCCTGCATAGCTGGGATGACAGGAACACACCATAATGCCTAGCTTTTTATTGGTTGAGATGAGGTTTTGCTAATGTTTCCCAGGCCAGCTCCAAACCACAATCTTCTTCCTGAGTAGTTAGGATTTACAGGGGTCAGCCACTGTGCTTGGTAACTCTCTGTTGCCTGTCCTCTCCAAGACAGCAGTTTTCTCTATGACCTCAGTTCTCTGATGGATTCAAGAAGAGTTGTTGGTTTTCAGTGACTACTTCTAGGCTCCTTACATGCTGAACCAGAAACAAAGTCAAATTGCTATATTTTAAAGATTGACTTACTGGCATCAACCACAATGTATATAATAAAGTGAATTCTCTTCCAGCATACAGTATAGGTCTATTCACTTATGAGGAAAAATAGAAGACACAGGTTAGGAATTTAAGTAGCTGGAGCACTAGACCTTGTAAGTATGAGATAATCAGAAATACCTTTTCTGTACAGAAAGACTTTGCAACTTGAGGTTTTTTTTTTTTCTTTTTCCCCTGCATAGAACATTTAACAGGTCAATTACTCTTTTTTTTTTTTTTTTTGAACATTTGCTGGCTTTATTATTTTGCCTCATATCAACAGTTACATGTAAAGATTATGTCTTTGCTTTTTTAAAATTTATTTTCTTTTTTTAATTGTATTAATATGTGCATACAATGTTTGGGTCATTGGGTCAGTTATTCTTTACTAAATAAATATTTATGTGAAATATTGCACAAAAATTCCGTGGACACCTGATTTCTTAAACTTTTAGACTTGGTGAGAAAAAGTACACAAAGCTAAATAGGCTTGTGGTTGCTGTAGTAGAAGAGTAGCTCACTGTTGTCATCAGAAGGAAACAGGTTTAAAGAATGCAGTCACGGCTGGGTGTGGTAGAGCATGCCTATAATCCCAGCTCCTCAGGAGGTGGAGGCAAGAGGATTGTGAGTTTAAGGTCAGCCTGGGCAAAAAAGGTAGTGGTGAGACCCTGTCTCAAAGAAAAGAAAAAAGCCAAAAGGAGCAGGGCATAGCTCGAAGGTAGAGTGCTTGAAGGTCTGGGTTCAATGCCTAGCACTGCAAAACCAAAATAGGCTCATGCCGTAATTCTAGCTACTGAAGAGGCAGAGGTCAGGAGGATTGCGGTTCAAAGCCAGCCCCGGCAAATAGTGCTCGAGATCCTATCTTGAAAAACCCATCACAAAAAATATGGACTGGTGGAATGGCTCAGGGTGTAGGCCCTAAGTTCAAACTCTACCGTCACAGAAAACAAAAAACTCCTTATTTCTCTTTACAGTCTATGGAAATGTATATTTGCTGTTTTACTATGAAAGCTGCTTGGTCATCTTTAAAGTTTACTTTTCTAAACTATTTTATGAAGTAAAGTGTAATATGTCAGCTCTCTCACTCATTCTATATCACTCCTGCACTTGTACTTTCCGTGTGTGAAAAAGGAGCAGTTCAGTCTAGGAAGAAAATAGAATCATTTTTCTCTTCCTCCTTCTCCTTCATTTGAACACAGTGCAGTACACGGTATAACAGAGTCCTATGCTTTGAGCCATGGTAATCCAAAATGTTTTAGTTGACTCTAAATGCTGTTGCTGAGTAGAGCTAAGGTTGTACATTTTAAATTGGATGATTGCTGCCTTGCAGCTTAATTAAAAAAGAAAATGTTTTGTCAGCTGTTTTCAGGAATGTAGTGACTTCCCCTACTTATGTGCATCAGTGTTGTGGTGAACGTCCTAGGTATCCTTATGCTTTCTTCTTTAATGTTTTCCTGGGTGGCACTAGTGTAGTGGATTGTGCTTGTCTCTGCAATGTGTTTCATGCATGGATGCAGCGTCTCCATCGAGTAGTGCCTGGGATTCTGCAGTGAGCAAAACACGGCTGCCTTCACAGCTCTCTGTAGTAGGAAAGATACTTACGTCTAATAAGTATTTATGATGTCAGGTGTGGTGACAACTACTCTGTGGGAAAAGAAAGCAGAAAAGGAAAATAGGGTGATATGGGAGGAATAGGAATATTTATTAAATAGGGTATTCAGAAAAGGCCTCTCTGAAATGTTGCACAGTAAGCAAGGCCTTAGGGGAATAAGGCACCCTGGTGCCTAGGGACAGCAGATTGCATGTGCGGGAGGAATGTCCATCAAGGCTGCATGACTGGAAGCCAAGGGACCAGTGGTGGGAATGGGTCAGAGAGGTGAGCAGGGGAATTCCAGGTTGTAAAAAGACTTTGGATTTTATTCTTTGTGAAATGGGAAATCAGTGGATGGTTTTGAGCAAAGGAGCCAGTGGAAGAATATACACTTTCTAAAGTGGTTTGCAGCCTGCAGTCAACTAAGCCGGTGAGTCCTCTTCCGCTGTCAGGCTTGAGTGTGTAGTGTGTGGTGTGTTTTGTACTAAGTTGGCTGTTCCTGGGACTTTTCTTCCATTTGTTGTTGTTCTGATGTACAGTTCTATCCCATAATAGCAAGCGAGAGGGAGGGGTGCAAATGATGGTGCTGGACTTGCCATAGTAGATCACAGGAAGGGCACTGTGGTTAGTGTTTAGCTAGTTGGAGGTTTCCTTCTGGGTATAGTGGTGTACACCTATAATCCCAGCTTTTGAGGGGCTGAGGCAGGAGGATCTTGCTGGTGTTTAACTCATGAGCATCCTGCCTTAGCCTCCCGAGTGCTGGGATTACAGGTGTGTGCCACCACATCCTGCTTGGAATTAATTTTTGAAGAAGAGATCTAATTAGATTTTCCATTCAGGGACTCTCTGCTCCAGAAGTACTTACCGTCTTTTGCCACTGGTAACACACCCACCCACACCCACACCCACATACCCACACCCACACACCCACACACACACACACCCCCCACACCCCCCCCACACCCACACCCACCCTGTGCAATGCTTTATATGAGAAATATCATACATATGTAATATGTATTACTTCTGTAATTACATACACAAATATATAACATGCGTGCACTGTCGTAATGGTATGCGCATATGTAACCTAAGAGCCATTGTCTTTTATGGTAAATGCTGAATATTTTGGAGACGTGTCCGTATACCAAGTGCCTCTATGTGTGCATGAGTCAGGCTCTGCATCCTATTAGATTCTATTACTCATTCGTCCATCATCATGCTAGTACACTTGTATTTACTTTATATTGTCCTTCTATCCGGGAGGGCAGATCTTTTCTCTGTGTTCTTTTGTAATGTTTTGGCCAGTCTTAATCCTTAATTTTTCCATATAAATTTTAAAATTAATTTCTTAGGTTTTCTAAAAGACCCACTTGGACTTGGATTAGACTTTGATTGAATTTATAACAGGTATTCCCATTCATGAGACTTGTATATGTCCTCATTTAAAAACCATTTCCATAAAAGCTTTTTAAAGTAAAAGTGTTTAAATATATTAAAAATAGGCCGTAGTATAATAAACCCCATTTCCCATCTTGCAGCCTCAGCAGTTTCAGTTC